AATCTTGCAAGATTCTGTTAATGTAACCATATAATTCTCTGTGGCAGCTCCGGCCCTTTGGAACAAACTCCCCGCGGAGATTCGGACCCTCACCTCTCTCCAGGCCTTCCGGAAAGCCGTCAAAACCTGGCTGTGCCGGCAGGCCTGGGGTTGATGAGTTCCCCTCCCCTCTTGACTTGTATGGTTGTATGATTCTTGTTTATTTTAATTACGTGTATTGTGTTTTATGTTCCCCCTTTCCCCCCCTTGAGTTGTTCGCCACCCTGAGTCCCTCCCGGAGAAGGGCGGCAGACAAATAAACTAAATCTTAATCTTAATCTTAAAGTATTCTGTGTTCTAAAGGTCTGTAGAGATTCTCAGCCATTCAGGTCGTGGTTGTCCTAAAAGTACTTTTTCAGGAAGCAACCGACCTTTTTTTTTTTTTTTTTAAAGAGCTGAAGAAGCTTCTTGGATTACAAGAGAAACATCTTCAAAGGAAAAAAAACAAGAAAATCCAGTTGCCTCCTGAAAAAAGCATTTTTGGGATATTTTGTGTTCTAGTCTATGTTCACCAAGCTAGCCACCAAAGTCCAATAAAATAACTCCTGCCAACTACCCCGTCCACAAAAACACTATGAAACATCCTCATCTCAATACAAATCAGATGATTAAACCTAAGTACAGGGATTATGTAAAGCATTTATATAAAGACATAGCCATAGCATAATTTGCAAAGCAATTTAATCATTCTAGATCACAAAAAATGATCCCAAGAATTAGACTCTGCATTGTTAGTAATAGCAACTGCCCCATTGTTTCTGATTTAGACTTTGCAGACAATGATGCAGATCTAAGATTAATCTACTCAATCCTAAACAATGCAGTACATGAAAAAGGAGCCAGAAAGGCACAAAAATGATTGGATATACTTAAGACACAGCTTCAGTATCCAGACTTCAATAAGACCAGGTATTCTGCCCTAAGGCAGGGTTCAGGGGTGCTTGGTAGCAACCTGGGTCACTGGATCAATATTAATTGGCAAAGGCTTTATCAGTTCCTATTTTAGAACTATTACCTCCAATTATTCTAGCCTTAAAATCTTTTTCAATTTTCTTTAACACTCTCTCAAAGGTGCTTTTCCAAGTGGCAACTGGACTTCGTTTTTCTTTGAAGACATTTTGCTTCTCAACCAAGAAGCTTCTTGGATGAGAAGCAAAATGTCTTCAAAGGAAAACCAGGAAGTCCAGTTGACTCTTAGAAAATTACCTTTGGGAAAACTATGACCTGGATGACTGAGAATTCCCATAGGAATTTTGCATTCTTTCTTGACATGTTTCTTTTAACAATCTGTCCAGCATTACACTTCTTGAATGTATAAATTTAACATTTCAAGATAAGCCTTGCATAATTTCTGCTACCTTTTTGTTCTTGAGAGCTGGACAATAATGGGAATATGGACACCTCATAATAAGTATACAGTAAATCTATAAATGCCTTTAGCTCATCTGAAACTATCTGTAGGATAGTAATTTAAATAAAGTTATCGAATGCTAAGTCCCAATTTGATATCTTTTTTTACATCTACTCGATTCACACAACCTATTTCTAAAGCCTATATATCAAAATGAAACTAATGTGGACAGAAGGAAAAATTGAAAAATTGAAAACGTCATGAATTAAGACCAATGGACACACCAGAATCTGATAAAGGAACTGTTGGGGTTCAAGTTATTCAGAGATATTCTATGTAATGAATTCACTAATAAACAAGGACTCAAATTTTGCTTATTAAGTTTTCGAGCACTTTGCCTTCCAACCTCTGAGTTCCTGGGATTAATGAAACTTCATGTGAATCTTGCTTCTTCAGTTGTGCCTTGAAATGTACATTCTTAGTTGCATTCTAACTGGGGCCAGTGTTGTGAAATGTAATTTAGACAGAAGGAATCACTGGGGTAGCTGAAGAAGAAAGTGAGCAAAGAACCAGCTGAGCAGAAGTATTACTCATCTTAAATATTTTTTTTTCCAGACAGAATTCTCCTACTTTTAATTAATCTATTTACTGAAGTCTCCTTAATTTATTCTACTATTGATGTCACACACTTTTATGGCTCAAGATTGTGCTTTTATACACATGTAAGCTGAAGTCCATTCATGCAAGTGTTAACCACTGACTATTTCCTTGTAAGGCTGATCATTCAAAAGCATTTCATCTGAATAGCATGAACACAGAACACTAGAATAAATATTTCGTATCCTAAATCTGGCAGAGATATTTCTATTACTAGACTGTTACAATCTGAACCATTCCAGGTGATTTAAATAACTGGTATTGATGAGACGATAAATAAAATAAGCATCTCTAATTTAGTACACACAATAAAGAATTGCATTTTAACTTGGAAGAAAAAACAAACTTAAACAATGCAATTACTGAAAAATATCATTAACCATTTATCTCATCCCCTAGCTCAACTGAAAATTAACTATCGTCTTATTTTAATAAATTCCTGTTGTTGTTCCAGAGATTTATTGTTGGCATTATGACAAGATGAATATGGAAATAACCCATCATACTTCCTGTCTGCATAACACTGAATAAATGAGCCTTACTCAATTGCTACCAAATAATACACTTCTGACCTTTGGAATGAACTATAAGCATTGAAAAGGATTAGGCAATTTAAGTCAATTGAAGCAAGAAAACAATCTTAAAAATCTATTACAACAGATTCCATCCAGGCAAGAACATCACTTTCCATTGGATTAATACAAATAAACTCAACTGCAGCTTTTAAAACAGGTTCTAATTTATTCTTCCAATGTAAACATGATCTACTTTCTTGTACTTTATAGTCTTCTGTGAAATACATTCTGTTTTGCAGATATCAAAACAGAATGAAGTTATTCATTTTAATAACCTCTGTTAATATGGTAAAGATGTGTCAAAGTGTTCCACACTTGGCCAAAAGTTCATATGAAAGTTCTATAAGTAAAAAGAGTATATAAGTATTAAGAAGGAAATTGTTAATGTTTGGTCAATGTGCTCTTGGGATGCTTTGGGAAAAGAGATCAGAATGGAAGCTGCAAAAACGCGAAGAAAGGGAGAGCTGATAAGAAGAAAGTGCCGTGGGATGTATGATTATGATGGCAGATTCTATGCTAGTTATGACTATAGTGACTGATTCAATTCATCTGTGGGTTTTGTTGAGTTTGAAAATAAAATCATTCAAATCTAAACACAAATGTGGCAGAAAGAAGAAATTACAAAAAAGAAGCTTAATGTTGAAGTATTTTGAGTATACTACCAAGCATACTATGATAAAACTAGAATATCAATAAAAGCTTAGTGCAGGCAAAAATGTAGCAGAAATATACAGAATTAAGAAGAAAATGGAGACTATATTTTCCTTATATTGTCAGTACATCACTTAGATTCATGCCTATTTGTTGAGAGAATAGTCATACTGGTGGTAGAACTCAGCCAATGGCATTTACATTTAAACTTTCAGTGCTTTAATAATGCCTGATTATTGTATAATGTAGACCAACAAGGCTGTAAAAAGTTTCTGTTATCTTTTCATCTTCACATTACAGCATTTGCTTTATAACAACTTAAAATTTTACTACTTCTTTTAAAATAAGTTTTTTCACTTGACACACTTTACAACATGATGATGATATTAGGGATAAAAATGAGTTTTCTGTTATTTATAGAGAGGCAGACACACAAAACTAGGAATATATTGTTCAATGATTAATGTTAGAAACAAGTAATGTTTTTATGATTCTAAGATGACTTATCCAAAATTAAATTAGTTTCACTGGTATGGAAAGTTACTACGTACTCTTGATCTACCCTAATTAAAGCAACATTCTATAAGTCAAAAGTTTACTTGCATTAATAAATTATGAAGGTTCATAACTGCAGCTGAGGCATTATTTTAATTGCTAATAAATTCATCCTTTCTAATCTGGAATCATGACAATTACCCAAAAAGCAAAATATCTCTAATGCATAGCTTGTGAAACAGTTTGATTATTAGTGGGGTTTTGTTCTAATTCTTTACAAGCCAAAAAGATGCCAGGATGAACAGTGAATACAGCAACATTCATTACTGCTTACTAAACAATGAGATGATAGCTTGATTAAGGAATTTCCAAGCGTGGTAGAATTTTGTGGTTAAAAGCCATATTTCAAAAATTTAACCTGAGAAGTGCCTTAGATAAATGTTCAAAATTCATAAGCCAAGTCTGAATTCCAATGATGAATCACCCGAAGAGCTCTCCAAATATTATCTTTTTAAGAACTCTATTTAATTGGTAGGCTTAATTGCTAAAATTTCCTTATCCTTATGGTTGTTTTCAAATATTATAAATTAGAGTGTGTATAATATTTGAATTCTGGGAGAGTAAAAAGATTCATGCAACTGTTGACATATTATTTTCACATGCACTGTGATTGGCAACCCTGTAATCGTCGTAAGCTGATGTCAATCATCCTACAGTTAATGCTTACCTGTTCTCTGGCCATCCATTGTACTGAGCTTAGTCTCGTCAGCTACTGTTAAAAGGTAAATGTATAATGGTTAGCCTTGTTAGTGCCCACATCCCTCATGCATCCACTGTTTATTTAGAGGACATTGCCAATATCACTACTCATGCAAATATGTCATATTATTCAAATACTTTTAAGGGGCAAAATGGGGTCCTAGAGAAAAATATTTAGGAAAATTCATGCTTTTGCGTCAGTCATCTCTAGATCACAGGCAAACTTAATATGTTATTCACATGCTAGCATGTCTCAATTAGCCGAGGCAAGATTACCACATATCAGCAAGTAGCAATTTGAGTTTTAAAAGTCCCAGTGGGGTTATAAAAACAGTAAATGTCTACAAATTTATTACATTTTTTCACACTTAAAAAAACATATCAAAGCTCATGAATCTTCCCAAGGGATATGTAAAAAGGCTTGGTAGAAAGGCTGAATTTGAATTATTAAATGGGTTACTAGATTTACTATTGCTAGCTTTCCTTCATTATCCCTGAGATATGAACCTGTAGGATTTCAAGATTAGTTTCTGCTGTCAGACTCATGAACTTAATGAGAATTTAGAAATTAAGCTAATAAGATGGGAGTAGCAATTTTATATGAATACTAATCACTAATATTCCAGAAGACTTTTTCCTTAAAAAGAATTCATCCCCATCATATATAAATAAACTACTATCTTTTAAGAGAAACATATCAATTATGTTGTGGTATCTTATTTCAGAAGAAAGATGTACATTAATCTGACTAACTTCTTTAAAGTAAGAGACATTGTAGGTTACGTTTTTCCATTAAGATCTGTGATACTTTAAAGTGGTCACAACACTCTAGTAGATATGTATGGGGGTGAAGGTGCTCACACACGCACAAACATGCCCATGTGTGTATGTGTGTGTGTGTTTGTGTGTGTGTGTGTGTGTGTGTGTGTGTGTGCATGTATGTATGTATGTATTTATAGGCATGTGTACACACTATCTATCTATCTATCTATCTATCTATCTATCTATCTATCTATCTATCTATCTATTTATCATCTATCTATCCATCCATCCATCCATCCATCCATCCATCCATCCATCCATCCATCCATCCATTCATCCTGACACACACTCCCTCAGCCAAGAAACAGAGATAAGCATCATGCTCTTGAGTTGGACATGACTGACAGAGAAGCCTTTACCATTTATCCTAAAAGTGCTTTTCCAAAAAACAACTGAACTTTGTTTTTCCCTGAAGATGTTTTGCTTCTCCTTCAAGAAGCTTCTCCAGTTCTGATTTTAATCCGAAGCGAAAAAGGATGAGGTGAAATGTCTTCAAGTAAAAACAAAGTTCCGTTGTCTTTTGAAAAAGCACCTTTGGGACAACAAGGAGCTGGATGTCTGAGAATCTCTGTAGAGTTTATCTTTTATATGTTCTATACCAGTGAAGGCGAACCTTTTTTTGGCTCCCATGCCAAAAGCGGAGGGAGCACAGGGGGCGTCATGCGCCAGCTGCCACACCCAAAATGCTGTGCGCATGAGCCCCCCAATTTTGCTGTGGTTTTTTTAACCCTCCCCAGACTCCAGAGGCTTTCTAGGAGCATGGGGAGGTCAAAAACAGCCAGGAGGCCCTCCAGAGGCCTCAGGAGCTTCCCTGTAGCCTCTGGAGGGAGAAAAACGGACCTATGGGGAACCCAAAGGTCACCATTCCCGAAGGTCTATTTTTCGCCTTCAGGGGCCTTCAAGAGGCTTCCCTGAAGGCTCTGGAGGGCAAAAAATGACCCTACGGCCAAACCAGAAGTCTGTTCTCAAACTTACGGTTCACCTGTAGGGCCGGTTTTTCGTGCCTCCATAGGGCGAAAAATGGCCTCAAAAGAAGGCCGAGGTCAGCTGGCCAGCACACTGTCCCGCTGACAGGACAACGCTTCACGTGCCCTGACAAATGGCTCTGTGTGCCACCTGTGGCACGCATATCATAGGTTTGCCATCACAGTTCTATACAGTAATCTGACCTACTGATAGCTGACACTTATAACTGCTGATCTTTTCTCAACATCAGCCTTTTCTGATGAACCAAAATTTTATTTCAATGAAAAACAATAATTGTTTTAGTTTGTAGGTGTCTCCAGCCTTTTCATTCTTTCAGCTACGATAGACTCTTAGAATTCTTTAGAAGGCAGTGTTTAAGCTGGGCTGAGGCTGCAAGTCAATGGACCACAATTCTGCCATTCCTCACTTTTTTACACTACCTTAACACAGTTCAAAGCCATTGCTATCTTTTTGCTGAAATTACACTTAAGTGTAAACTGAAGACTCACTAGACCCATGAGCAGTGTCACAAGCAGATGACTCTAACCACATTCCTATCATTTACATCCAACCATGCAAGCCGTGAACGCTATCATTTGTAAAGTTGAAGGACAGATCCATCACTTGCTGGCCACCCCCACCCCCTCCGGGGGAGGAAAGTCCCAATACATCACATGATGATGGCGTGACAATGTGAGTTTGACACCTCTGTTCTATAACATGTGCAGTTGCCATGGAAGGTTATTCTTTCAACCAAGTCCCATTTACTTTCCCTGAAAGCGTTTAAGTCAATCACTATTGCCTTTAGCAACAAATGACATTACAAGTAATGGGACTAAACATCCCAGCTGTTAAATGATTAAAGATTAAGCTAAAGCCGAATGTCTAAGCTTCTTAGAATTATGTTTGAATCGTTCGTTAGAGAAAAGGTTTTAGCAATGCTAGAAACAACGAGAAATATGTTGTGCAGAATTATTTTGAAATACAATTTTGAATTATTTGGGTTTTCCATCTCCTAAAAAACTACCTATTCAAAGATGTTTACAGCTGCTGTATATACTGAACAATCCTGTAACACCTAAATCTGTATAAACATAACATGTTAAATAAACATTAAAATTGCTGAAGCATATATAATGCACTTAGCTTGATCATATTTAAATTTTTTCATGCCACATATTGAACTCAGCTGCATGGGATAATCAACTGCATAATATTACAAATAATTTAAATGCCAACAGGAAGCAACAAGGAAAATGATATCAATGTACCGTTGAAACACAACAATGAACAAAGAAGGAGTATGACTAATACCTAAGTCCATGCTTTTAGATTTCCGTGTTTTAACGATGTCTAATTGGTTGGCATCTGAAAACTGCTTAGCACGCTTTTCTGACATGCTCTGGCGTCCAAATCCTTCTCGTTGGAAAGTCAATCCTGGATCCATATCTGGACTTAATACGCTTTTAAAAAATATAAGAATAAATAAATATAAAGAAAGCTTAACTAAATCATACATTTATTTTATATCATTAGCTTATCAATAAGACTAAAAAAAGTTGGAAATCATGAGAGGATATTTTACTTTATTATTTTTATTTTACTTTACTATTTTAGATTTTCTTTTATTTTATCATTTAATTTTACTTCATCTCCATGAATATAGAATTATTAGCCTTTTAATCCAGATTTTAAAACAAGCTTAAAGTAGTCTAATGTTCAGATTAATTTATAACTCATAAACTGTCGTGAAAATGGTTCTTTTTAATTTTTTTCTGCTGAAAGGAAGATAAAGATACTAAATGCGAAATGATGAAATAGAAATTCAAAATTCATCCTCCTCAGTCTGAAATTCTGCCGGTGAATTGCAGGTGGAAATATGATGTCTGACTCTCTAGTTGGTTCTTAGACTTATCACTTTTTTTAAAAAAAACCATTAGATTGAACAAACTACATAAAACTTTTAGATTGAATATCCATATAGAAAGAGTGGGTTTCTCCTTTGTAGATTAAGATTTTCCAGAAATATATAAACTCTCAATCTGAACTAACTTGTTGGATAGTATGTGATGGTGTGTTGCATTGTTGAAGATCTGTAGTAGCACAGTGGCTAGAATGTAGCACTGCTCACTAGTACTGCTGCCTAGCTCTGCCCACTACTTCGATCCTGACTGGCTCAAGGTTGACTCAGCTTTCCATAGTTCCAAAGTCACTAAAATGAGGACCCAAATTGGTGGGGGCAATATGTTGACATTTGTAAATCACCCAGACAATGCTGTAAAGCACTATGGGACAGAATATAAGTGTAAGATGGTGAACTTATCAGCGGATATGCAAGCTGGTCCGCTAGCTTGGCTCCAGCACACATGTGCATGCTGGCCAGCTGATTTTCACCTGGCCTGCCCACGCTGCCCTTTCCTTTCCAGGAGCTTCCACATGATGCCAGGTAAGTACAGAGCCCATACGGGAGCTCTGGGAGAATGTTTTCAGCCTCTGGAGGTGGGGAGGTCATTTTCACCCTCTCCAGGCTCCAGAAAAGTCTCTGGACCCTGGGAAAGGTTAAAAATGGACCTGCCAGACCCACCAGAAGTCGGTAAATGGACCGTTTCCCAGGTACCAAAAAAGCTGTGCGTGCATGCATGGGGCAGCGGGGTTAGATGGGTCATGCACTTATGCACAGGGGGCACAGGAAGGGGAGGTGATTAAATTATTGGTGTGGGCACACATGTGCGCGCGATAGCATGTGCACATGTGCTTTTGGCACCCAAGGTGAAAAAGATTAGCTGTCTCTGATCTAAGTGCTATTGTACTTTGTTCCTGTACTGGTAAGCAGAAAACAATGTAAAATGTCTTTTGCCCTTTATAGCACTGACAGCTCACATCAGCCTTTCAGACATTGTTGAACTTCAAATCTCATCAGCCTTAGCCTATATAGCCCATGGATGGTAATTATTGAGTTTTTCACTTAGTGTTTAGGAGGAACAATGTCTGAATTTTTTAGGAGGATCTAATCTTTTTTTCTAATTGTAACAGAATATATCCATTTTTTTAAAAAATAAACAACATTCACATTTTAACCAAATTGCATCAAACTTTTAATTCAAATCAAACTCTGTTGCACACATTGGTCAATCAGATGATCCTAGAGTAGTTGTTCATTCCTGTTCGGAATAGAACTTCATTCCACAGAAGATAAAAACAATTTTCCAACAGCAAATAAATGCCATTTATTTACAGATAGTCCTCAATTTACACCATTCACTTAGTGACCATTTGAAATTACAATGGAACTGACTGTTTTTCCATACTTAATGACCATTATGGTCATGTGATCAAATTTCAGGGGCTTGAAAACTGGTATGTATTTAGGAAGGATATTATATCCAGGGGTCATGTGATAATCTTTTCCGACCTTCTATAAGGAAAGTCAGTGAGGAAGCCCAATTCAATTAACAACTGCGTTACTAATTTAACAACGGCAATGATTCACTTAACAACTGTGGCAAAATGTCGTAAAATGTCAGAGAGAATAATCCACCGAAAAGGATTAAACCATCAAGATAGATTTCCAGAGAATAAATCATTTTAACGAATGAATGGATGGATAAATCAATCACCATACTAGTGTATCAGCTATGCTAATTTTCTAACTGGAGTGTAATAAGTACAAAAAACAACAACAACCCAGATTGTTTTAAAGAGTTCTGCCTATTTTCACAAAATATCTGATCTGCCAGACTGGTTCTCTACAAAAAATAATTTCATAGAGGTGGACTGAATATCTATAAAATGTCATACTCAGGATTTACTAAAAGTGTACAAAAGCATTATGTTGCATTTTAATAAGACATTTCAAAAATGGTTAGTCACCTGTTGTAAAACTTAGTGAAACCAAACAATATCTCACATTAATAGTTCTTAATATTTCAGATCAATATTAATGCCACTTCATATTATCCTTTATTCATTAAACATGAAACTTAGCCAACTGAACATTCAAAAATGCATTACAAGTGCCATTGACTGGTGCTAATGGTTGATACGGGTTGTTGCCAGCATTCTAGGCATCAACCAAGTACCTTCTTAAAATATACAATGTTCCAAGTACCGCCGTTTATTGCAGTTCCACTGGCGTTATTACAGGAAGCTGCAATTTGTTGATGTATCGTATAAAATTCTTGGACATGGTACCAAGTGCCCCGATGACAATGGGTTTCACTGTCACATGTTTCATCCACATTATATTTATATTTCTAGAATCAACAGACAGCAGAATATACTATAACAAAGAATTTGACTCTTTAAAGAATGTAACCGTTATGACCCTCAGTGTTATTAAAATTCCACATATTAATCCTGCTTCATTGTCCCTTGTTTTCATAATATTTTCATAAAGGATTAAGGAGATACTGTCAGGCTGGAAAAAGTATGTATTTTCAGCCATGATTCAGAACAGCTGCCATTCTTGTTTGGATAACCCTTCTTCCATTTTCTTTACATCAACCCCTTGGTGCTTTGAAGCAAACTCACAAAAAACACCTTCATTTTACAATCCTTCCTTTGTCCATTACCAGCAGGAAATTAATACAAAAACCACCCTTGGCCACTGTTTATTTTATTTTACTGGGTTCCTTTTTAACAAATAGAATGCAGTCAACAGAAATAAGGATCCAAACAGATCTGTCTTGTTTGTAATTGCATTATTCTCTTTGAGCCTTTGAAAGGGCAGGCATAAAGGCAGTTGTAGGAACAAAAGGAAAACTTTAAAGGCAGTCATTCTTTCTTTTTCTTATTAGTGGGGTTGTAAAATGTGAAAGTAAAATAAAATCAACAAATAGAGATGGTATGAGAACTGAGTTCAACTTAAATTATCTTTGGCATGAAATATGGATTTGCTGTTGAAATGCATAGATGCATTTCCAAAAGTTACTGTATTTTTCGGACTATAAGATGCATCGGAGTATAATATTCACCATGATTTTGAAGAGGTAAATTTTTAAAAAAGGTTTTGCACAATGCAGACCTTCCAAACCCTCTGCATGCCTCATTTTTTGCAAAAAGAAAGGAAGAAAGAAAGAAAGAAAGAAAGAAAGAAAGAAAGAAAGAAAGAAAGAAGGGGGAGCTTTGGGAGACTTGTAGAATGCTCTTGGGGACTGGGCAAAAATGAGCAAAAAAAGCCCCAAAAGGGCATGCAGAGGCTTTGGGAGGCATGTAGAGTGCTCCTGGTGGCTGGGGGGAGGGACAAAAATGGTCCATTTTTTGCTCAATTTTGCCCTTCCCCAGCCCCCAGAAGCACTTTGCAAGCTTTTCAAACTGTCTGCACGTCCATTTTTGCAAAGGGGGTGGGATTTCGATAGGCCAAAAATGCTGTATTCAGTGTATAAGACACACCCAGATTTTTACCCACTTTTTTGGGGAGGGGAAGGTGTGTCTTATGCTCCCAAAAATATGGTAGTTAGTTTTTAGGCCTTTTGCTTTCGAAAGACAATGGTGAGAGTTTGAGAAGTCGAAGAAGCAGTAATGCAATGTGATAGAGAACAGCATTGTAATAGAGAAAGCAATGGTTTTTAAGATAACAACCAAATGCTTTTTCAAAGATAGAGTAAGAGTAAAATTAATATGACTGAATACCAGTGCACATTCTTGCACATGTGTGTGTATCGAATAGCTGACTTGCACAAAGCCAAACAGAGATTCTTGCTGTGGGTAATAGTTATTAAGATATTGCTGACACAATTATATGAAGCTCGGGAGAATATGAGACTTGGAAAACACTCATACTTCAACCTACTTGTGTTAATTATCACCACAAGCCTAGTAGGAGTTCCACAGAAAGATATTTTATTTTGCTTATTGCATAACATAATTACTACACATACAAATTATTGTTGTTCTCTGCAATTAGTAGAGATTGTGTAAAAAAAAAAAAGACTTAAACATTAGGAAATATTTCTCCTATATAATATAACAAACAAGGCCCAAGCAATCATTGCTGTCCCTTCTCCAAAATGCTGATGTGAGATCCCATGCCACAATAATATGAAAATTGCTTTCCCCACTTAAGTTCTTAAGTGGCTTTACAGGGACAAGAGATAGAAAGCGTATTCTTTAGAACTGAAGAAGCTTCTTCAGTGAGAAGTGAAATGTTTTCAAAGAAAAAAACCACAAAAGTCAAATTGCCTTTTGGAAAAAGGACTTTGATACAGCCAACCCCCTAGATAATTCAGAATATCCATAGATGTCTAGAAGAATAGTTCTGCTTCTATTTCAATGATAAAACCAATGAAGTAAAGAATAAGGAGAAATAACTATGCATATAAACACAACATTTACCATTCGGCTGATTCATTCACTATTGGTTTACTCCAAGCTCCAGCATCCATGGTTGCAAAACCTACATCATCATGAGAACTGGAAGATGACTGGTCTGAAAGATATGGAGGTAGTACAGGTAGTCTATCATCTTCTATCATTACCATATCATCCGGGGGCATGTTGACTGTTGGAGAAAGCTGGTATTTACCTGCAGAAAATGGATGGAGAATTATTTTGTTAGATTTGTAATGTAGCATTCCTGCCATTTATTTTGATATGTCTTCATTAAAAAGAGCATTTCTAGGCATGGATTTCAAAGTTCTAAATGTCTGTTGACATATAGCAATCATAATAAATCCCATATAAAAAAGTGCCTAGAAAAATCTCCAACAACACCAAAAATAGATCCTTCTTCACCTTTGGCCTACATTTAGGAGTATCATATTAGGCATTTATGTACAATGAATCATCAGTGTGTGTCTTTTCTCTCTGTCTGTTTTTCTTTCCTCTCTTGGAGTAGTCATCATTTCCATCTGCATGAAATGTTCAAGTGTGCACTATGTTTAACATACATTTTGTTTATGTTTGTTTAATATCAAAGATAAAAGTGAAAGTGAAAAACTTTCCTAAAGCTGAACCAGTGAGTTTATGGTGATGGAATTAATCCTAAAGTCTTTCTTCTCTCTAAATCAGCACCTACAGGGCAATCAACATGACTTAGAAGGTTAGCTAAAGAGAGTGGGATATACAAGTTGTATATATTTCAAATATACAATTCCTGTTTTCCAGACCTGAGTGACCGTTCGAATTCTGGCATACTTATGAAGAATTTTGGTTTAAAATATTCAACTGGTGTAAAGAAATCTACTACTTTGGGCTGATATTAAATTTTCTTAGTTTAGCTAATCAAGAAGCAGTTCTGAAAACTTTAAAAGTCAGAAGCAAGCTTGGCAACTGACTCGTACCATGACTGATGCAGTGTCCCAAGGTCTTGTGATCACCTTTTGCAACATGTTGACAAGCAAAATCAATGGGAAAGGCAGATTCATTTAACAACCGTGTTACTAACTTATCAATTGCAGTGATTCACTTAACAATTCTGCCAAGAAAGGTCATAAAATGGGACAATTTAACAAATGTTCTATGAGGAAGAAGACAAAGGAGAAGAAGGAGGAGAGGAGGAGGAGGAGGGGGAGGAAGAGGAAGAGGAAGAGGAGGAGGAGGAAGAAGAAGAAGAAGAAGAAGAAGAAGAAGAAGAAGAAGAAGAAGACGACTCCCACTGACATCCCCTACTGTCAAGCTGAAATGAATGTGCTCAGGTTTGCATAGCAGCTAATTCTTTTCTCAGCAAAAGCCTTTTTGATTGACAGGTTAACGTTAAGCGTAGAAATCCACTCATTTTCAAATATAATGCCTACAAGATTGTTAACTTTATGGTTAATAATATTTCCAAAGAATTGAATGTGAAACTGAATAACCTTATGGCATTTTACGGATCATGACTCCAAGGTTGAGAGGCAGAAGTAATTCAGTGGCATGTCTAGATTTTCTGTGCACTTCTTAATATTTCAATAAGCCTGAATGATGATGTTTTAGCAGATAAACTAAAATCTGAAAGTAAATTCATTTCTTTTTCAGTAGGTTGAAATGGAGTTAAAGAAGAATCTTTTTCAGGCTAAACCTATCAATCCCTAAGCAATCCCAATGAAAAAGAATGACTAAATGCCCACTATAGCTAATTTAAAATGATTTTATTTGTCTTAATCAGCTTAAGCCCATTGATGCCAATTTGATAAAAATACAACAAGCTCTTCCCCCCTTTTTTGATACAGTTGGTCCCTAATTTATCTACTTTAGCCTAGTATCTGTAAGAACATAGCTGAATAAGACTACAATTTTAAAAATACTTTTATGATAAAACAATACATAATATAAATTTTGGAACCTCTCCCCCCCAATGCTCTTTATCTAGCCTGGGGGAATATATAACAATGCAAGAGAAAAAAATAAAAATGAGTCACAGATGTCAAGAATTGATAAATGAGAATTTCAAAACATTTTATTGATTTTTTATTGATTTGCGCAAAATACTTAATTTATCCTTAAATTAAGGATTAATAAATCCTTATTTAGAAGAATTTGTCTTTTTCCTTCTTCACCTTCTTCCTTTTTGCGTGTGTGGGTGTGCAGACATCATTAAACAGCTTTTTTCCCCTTTTCAATTAACTTTCTCTTGTTGAACTCAAGCATTTCAAACTGGCTAATCTTAGCTACAGTTTGTTCACTGAGGCCAAGTTCAAATCAGCTTAAGAAATCAGCTTGTTTCAACAAAGTTCAAGATTAATTGCAACTGAGGGATAGAATCAAGATCACGTGAAGTGTTAATATCACTTTATAATGTCTTGGTAAGGTCACACTTGGAATACTGCATTCAGTTTTGATCACCACGATGTAGAAAAGATGTGGAGACTCTAGAAAGAGTGCAGAGAAGAGCAACAAAGATGATTAGAGGACTGGAGATTAAAACATATGAAGAATGGTTGCAGGAACTGGGTATGTCTAATTTAATGAAA